TACTACTACTACTACTACTACTACTACTACTACTACTACTAAAGTTACCTGGAAACTTCCAGGGCTCGGCGGAAGTTTCCAGGAAACTTCCACCGAGCCGTGGAAGTTTCCCGGAAACTTCCACCGAGCCGTGGAAGTTTCCGGGAAACTTCCACGTGATCGGCGGAAGTTTCCCGGAAACTTCCACGTGCTCGGCGGAAGTTTCCCGGAAGTTTCCTGGAAACTTCCACGTGCCCGGCGGAAGTTTCCAGGAAACTTCCACCAAACTTCCACTACCTTTGGTGCCGTTTTGGAAAATGCAGCCCAGAATCTTAAACCGCAAACCAAATTTTGCAAAAAAGCGAAAGAAAACACAGCAAAAATGGCGCTGAAATTAACAAAAAATAAAAAGCAAAAGCTCAAAATGTAAAAACAAAAGCGCCATTTTAGCTGTGCGACTGGAAAAGTATAGTATTATATTAGGAGCAGCAGCACTACTGGCTGCATGATGTAGTAGTAGTGGTAGTAGTAGTAGTAGTAGTAGTAGTAGTAACTTAGTAGTAGTAGTAACTTAGTAGTAGTAGTAGTAGTAGTAGTAGTAGTAGTAGTAGTAGTAGTAGTAGTAGTAGTAGTAGTAGTAGTAGTAGTAGTAGTAGTAGTAGTAGTAGTAGTAGTAGTAGTAGTAGTAGTAGTAGTAGTAACTTAGTAGTAGTAGTAGTAGTAGTAGTAGTAGTAGTAGTAGTAGTACTTATTATAAAGTAGTAGTAGATATAAGCATGAAGAGAACCCCAAAACACCCAAACCCGAAAAATCCTCGACCTTAAGCACACACCCAAAGTTTAAAAAACTTACACCCCCCAAATCCGAACCCTACCCTAAACACCTGAAGTCCTGAACCCCCCGAACCCAAACACCCAAAATTTAAAAATCTTAAACCCCCGAAACCGAACCCCACCCTAAACCCCTAAACTCCTAAACCCCCCGATCCCCTCCCCATCCCCTCTCCCGTCCCCAACCCCCCTCCCCGAAACCCCTAAACTTCCAAACCCCCCCACCCTTCCCCCTACCTTCCCTCCCGGGCCAACCTTAGGGTTCAGGGTTGAGAGTTCAGGGTTGGTCGTCTTCCGTCGTCGTCGTCGCGGTCGTCGTCGTCGTCGACGTCGCCGTGGTCGTCGCCGTGGTCGTCGCCGTTGTCGTGGTCGTCCTGGTCGTCGTCGTAGTCGCCCTGTCGTCGTGATCGATGTTGTAAAGCTTTTGGCTCGCAGCCATGCAGCTGCTTAGGCTTAGAACTGGGCCATCGGAGGATTGGCCATGGAAGCAGCCGTGCTTGGAGGCTCCCGGCAAGGTGTTCGGCAGAGAACTGCCCGTCTGCAGGAAGAAGAGGAGGAATCAGAGCTCGCTGTGCATCTGTACCGACAGTTCCTCTGGGGTCATCAGAGCTTGGCACAAGTCCGAACAACCGCCGGGCTTGCTTCGGATGAGTTAACCCGAAAGCGGGCAACTGTTCCGAAACAGCTCGCCACCTTGGCAGGTTTGGGAGGCAGCACAGACTTGACCCATAATCTCTGGAGAGATTTGGAGCGACGGGTGCAGCCGCCGTTCTTGGAACCGAGATATGAGATGCTGCCATTGAATCCTAGGCCAGGCCGCATCCCTTTCTTTGACCCGGTGCAGACTTTCGAATGCCTGCGGACTCGACGTCCAGAGTTCTTCAAGGAAGTTTGCCTTCCCTCGGTTGATGAGCTGGAGGAGTTCTGGAACCAGTGCTCTGGACACCCGGCCCTTCGGCACCATCCAGTGCGAAACATCAGAGGCTTCCAACGTCGGGCAGTACCGCTCGTTTTGCACGGTGACGGTGTGCCAATCACAGCCATAGGGGCGAGCCAGAAGTCCTGCGCTTTCATTAGCTGGAGATCCCTGTTGTGTCAGAGAGCGGCCAGCAAGTGTCAGCACCAGCTGATGGCTGCGATCTGGTGCGACCTGATCGTCAAGGCCGGCGGCGAGGACACAGTGCAAAGCCTTTGGGCTCTAGTGTGCCAGTCCTTCGATGCCGCCCTGGACGAAGCAGCGGGGCATCAGAGACCCTTCCCGGTGCTGCTTTTCGCCAGCGGAGACCTGGAGTGGTTCAGTCTGGCACATGGCCTTCCTCGCTGGAATTCCCTGAAGCCCTGTGGCCTGTGCGGTGTCGCACGACAGGCCATGTTTGGCTTCAGGGCAGTTCCGAGGGTGCCGGCAGACCCGTGGATTCTCCCGAGACATGACTCCCACATTCTTTGTCGGAGAACTCTCTGCAAGGCTTCCGTCTTCCCAGACATGATGCACACGAAGCATCTTGGGGTGGACCAAAGAATATGTGGCAGTGTCATCTGGCTCCTAGTGCACACTGTGATGCCCGGCGATGTTGAATCCAACCGCATCCAGTTGGTGGAAGAGCTGCACAGAGCACACCGGGGACGTGGCGAAAGGCCGGTGAGCAGACTCACACCGGGGATGTATTTGTCCAAAGTCGGCGACGTGGACTGCCGGGAATCCTACCCATGCCTGAAATGCAAGGCTGCCGAAACCAAGGCGACAGTGGCGGCATTGAAGACGGTTTGGGGAAACCGCATGGATCCTCAGCAGGAGCTGCACATCCTCACGAACTTGCTGCTGGAACTGAGCGTTTTCTTGGATACAGAGGTGTCCTCCTCTAGCGACTGGCACCCCACGAAGGCTGAGAGTGAGCAATGGGTTCTTGCTGGAGTCAGCCTCGCTCAATGTCTCACGAAGTTAACCAAGGAACATCTGAAGCTTGGGCGGTGTTTGTTCCAGTTAACGTTTAAGTCTCACTGGCTGATCCACTGTCTCCACTACTCCGAGTACATGAACCCGAAGTTTTTGTGGACGTACAGCGGAGAAGACTATATGAGCCGCTGCAAGACCCTGCTGAAGTCCTGCCTGAATGGCAGGAAGCAGCTGCCGGCACTGCAAAGATTCGGTCGGCAATATGCTAGGGCCATATGTGTCGAAGTAGACAAGGAGTTTCACCGACCCCTCTTTGTGTGACATGCAGTCACGTCCGAAAAAAACCGGCCCGTAGAGTAGTGCACGGAGGAACCGCCTGCTGTATGATCTTCTAGTAATTGTGTCGTTTTTTGCTTTTGGGCTCAAGACCGGTTTTAGAGTGCCTCGGTGTTTTGTTAGTTTCGAGCAATGGAAGTCGTCGGCCGAACCCGCCTGAAGGTGCTGGACTCCGTGACGGCTCCAAAGCTGCAAGGGGCCATCGAGGAAGGGCTTAAGCACATGGGCCATCGTAGACTCGAACGAATGGTTTGCGGCTTGGAGAATATGTCTTGGAAGACAGCGATCACAGGCCATGTGGCACAAATCTGTGCCATGGAGGGCTTGCTGATCTGTCTGCTAGGGATTTTCTGTGCCATGGAGGGCTTGCTGATCTGTCTGCTAGGGATTTGCTCCAACGGCCTCTTGCCTCACAAGATGCTGGAAACTGCTCTGCTCAGCTGCCACAAGGCCACACCGTTTGAGATGAGTCGACCAGCGAATGCCACAGGACCCAATTGGCAGGATGCCTGCATCAAGTACTTGATGTACAGGCTCCGAATGATCACAGGCAAGATCCGTGAAATTGCTGTCGACGAAAAAGAGCGAGCGAAGGCGCTGAAGAAGACTTCGCTGCAGCAACAAGCCTGCATCTTGAAGCTATGCCGCATCCTTAATCCTGGGCTGGCTGCTTTGCCTGCAGACAGTGGCACAGGGACCTTGCCACTGCAGCTTGTGCCCGAGGCGAATGACTCGTCTGAGGATGAAAGGCAGATAGAGAGAAATTTCAAGCTTCTGCTCGGGCCTTCGGATGGTCAGAGATCGCTTGCAGGGACGTCTGCTGCTGCAACTTTGCAGCTTGCCCAGGGCTCTACAGAGCCTGCCCAGGGCTCTACAGAGCCTTCAAGCTTCCTAGAGCGAGCCAACAAGCGAGCTCTTGCAGCAGCTCTAGCCTGCAGCCCGGCCAAACCAATGTCTAAAAAGGCAAGGATGGAGACCATCGCGGAAGCTAGGAACTCGTCTCCAGGTGTCTTGAAGAAGCCTGCTGCCGCCAAAGGTGCCTGCAAGAGACCGGCTGCGGCAGAGCCTGTAGTCCGGGCCGCAGCGGAAGAGCCTACGAGGGGAGAGCCAGCCAAGGAAGTCTTGCAGGAAGACGGTATCCTGCTGACTCGGTACGGATGCACCAAAGATCGTGGCTTGCTTTTCGGCTGCAGTCAGTGCAAGAAGTGGGCAGCTGACGGTAAGCATCGATACATCGTGCTATCCTCCGGCCACATTGCTCAAAAGAAGCAGTGATCGACATCGCTAGCCTTAGGCCTCAGACCAGAGTTTTGCAGACGGGCTTGTGGAAAAATACTGCACACGATCATGTCATTGAGATATATTCTGGAGTTAATTTATATATTTTTTGGAGTTAATTTTTTAACTATAGTTAAAGTTAATTTTTTAACTATTTTAGGAATTAGTATAAATATTAACTATTAGTTAATATTTGTATATATAGTTCGGGAAGTGCAACGGGTGACCTTTGTTAAGGGTGACCTTTGTTTGGAGTGAACAAGTTGGTGATCGTTCCTATGGGTTAGTGCTGGGACTCATGACTGAAGAACCTGCAGAGCATGGACGGACGACTAGTAGTTTAGCGATGTATCCCTGTAGTTGTATGTGTGTGTGTGCATGCTGTAGCTCTTGAAGACCACTGCCATCATGTAGAGGAGATCCACCTGGCACAAGTTGACAAAGGGAAACCAAACACACTTGCAACATAGTCTGTGCAAAGGGTTGGGCCTTGTCGTTGGGGAGAGCTGTCAAGTCGAGGTGGCTCCACTCGGACCTGAAGGCTTGGTGGAGGACTGGCCCTCAAAATGACGCCCAAACTCTGCAATGTGAGGCAATGCATTTGCCGGGACTCATCCCACAAGAAATCCCAACTTAGAAACAAGTTTCAGGATTCAGGCTTAGGGTTGAAGATGTTTTGCAGCTCAGCTGAGAACCTGCTCAAAGTCAAACGGGCACTGTTGGCCTGTCTCCCGGCTGTACACACCCCAGGCCTGCACCAAGAGACGACGAAGGCAAGCATTATCGGACCCGGGCACTTCAACAGGGAAAGTCGGGGAACGCATCGAGCCGTCGGGATAAGTAATCTTCCACCGATGATGCCAAACAGACTCCTTGCTGATTTTGAAGCCTGGAGGCAAAAATTGCTTAGCCTGGGCTTGTGTGTACCCTGAATTGGGCCATTCCAAAGCCTTCCTGCGTTGGCCATGGCCACCATCAGGAGCAGGTGGGTCATTCGGACCCCTTGCAGCTTCCTCCTGAGCTGCCTTGGCATTGTCAGCAGCAGCCCGAGCTTCCCGGGCGATTTTGGCCAAGCGCTTTCGTTTGCATTCATCCAGCTCTGTTTGAAGTTCGACATCATTGAAATCCTCACCATCCTCAGCTTCCTCCTCGAGCAATTCCTCCAGCTGCATCAGTTGCTCAGCATCGACATCCTCTTGGCATGAAGTCCTGCTTCTCACAGCTGCTGCAAGTGTCTCCTCCGATGCTTGCTCCTGGAGGATGTGTCTAGCCAGTGCTCGGACCCAGCCAACTTCATTGGTAGGTTGTATGCCAGGAACTTCCAGCAGCTTGTGAAGCTTCTTCAACCAGAACACAGTCATTCTTGGAAAGCCATGCAATGCACTGTATTTGAGGAGGGTCTGGCCGGTTTCACGGTACACCCGAAGGCGAATCGGACCCTCATCTTGCTTCTCAGGCTCTACCAGAATGCATCGCCAGTCCTCATGAGACAAGACCACTTCGAAGCCCATGGCATCTTCCGGAAAGTCCTCCAAAGACAAGAAGTCCTTGTCACCTTGCTTTACAGTTCCACATCGCAAGCCCAAGAAACCATATGGTGTTGTGTACACAACCAGCCGTGAGATTTTTCTTGTACGATGCCAGACGAGTGCCCCACATGGAACAAGGAGTGACTGCCAGGCACTGGTGAAATCCTCCCAAGTCGTTGCAAGTCGGCCCAACAAAGTGAGACATGCCACTTCCTAAGCAACCACCAATCAATCAATGGAAGCATGCTTCACAAATAATATAATATGGCCCTCAGTCAACTGCTGAGTTATTATAATATTAGTACATATATACCACTGCAGGCAAAGGCTGTTTTTAATTAAGTATAAATCCAAGGTTCTTTGTGGCGTCGGGCCGAGTGATTGGGCCATGTAGGTCTTGCATCCGTAAGCTTGCTCCTGTCACTTTCAGACAGGGTGCACTGCTCGACATCATTGCAAGCAAAAATATTTCGTGGAAGTGATTTCGGGCCAGAAGTCGGCAGTGTGCCAATGGGGCCACTTGAACCTTTGACCGGCATTGTAGGCCGGTCAAAATCGGCAGGCAGTGTGGATGCCATGGACAGCTGGTGCCAGAGTGCCTTGCCTTCTGCCCGTCCCTGCATGTTGGAGCGACACTTCGCACGGGCTTCGCGAATGAGGTTCTCGATGTACAATGTCGCATTCATGCCCTGGGCATACTGCCTCAGCTCTTCCTTGAGAAAGCTGTACACTCGTGCATCTTCGAAATTGCACTCCAGCAGCTGCACAAAGTTCTCTCGGACCCATGTCTGTTCGGGCCATTCCATGCCACGGCGAACTGGGACCATGGACCTCTTTGCTGCATGGTTGCTGTTGATCCAGCTCTCTAATCGGTCCAGGTTGTCCCAGTCCTGTTTGAATCGGATCAGGGCCTTCTTTCTGACCTCAGAGCTCGGATCCACCAGCAGCACGAAGCTCTTTGGAGGAACGGCGTACTTCGCTTGTGTCAGTGCAAGCTCTCCACACAGCGTGATTGTGAACTTCCAGAAGACACATGCGTCGGCTTTATCCGCCGCTCTCCACTCCGGCCCGATCCAAGTTTGCAGTGTTTCCTGGATCACTCGAGTCAGTCCTTGTCGGGCCATATCTTGCATCAACTCTGCGGTTCCCCACCTCGTCTTCAGCATGGTCATAGCACTTTTGAAGAATCTTTCCAGGGGTGTCGACAAAAGCATGCAGCCATCCACAAGCCGCAGCGTGCGCCGTCTGCAAAGAATGTCAACTGCATAGCGGAGTGTAGCTGACAAGCTCTTCTGCTGCCTTTTCCGATTGATGAGTTTGCGTCCATCAGCCACGCTCACCCGTTTGGCCGTCGGCCCATCTCCGATGATGTCCGGATCCTCACCTTCCTCTTGGGCGTCTTCTTGTTCCATTTGGGCTTGCTCCTCTTCATCATCTTCAGCTGGCCTTCCTTGGGGAGCATTGGCATTCGGACCACTGAAAACTGGGGATTCATCCAAAGTTTTCCACCAGTTTTTCTGGATCCCATGGAACACAAGAAGCATCAGGGTCATTGTGCGAAGGTGTCGCTGCTGGCGGTGCAGCTCCTCTATACTGAACCATCGTGAGTTCTTCGGGCAATGTCCCATGTTGGCATTACACAACTCGGTCCTGCAAATCTCCCAGACCTTTTGGTAATGCTCATCGGACCCCTCAGCTTCCAACCCGAGATCTTCGCAGATGTCTTCATAGAAGAGCTGTAGCAAGCCATTGTGGAAGTCCATTCGGGCAAAAAGATCTCGGGCCGCAGAGAGCAAAGTGTCATGGTGCCCTTGCCGATTGAACGGACCCCGTCGAATGGACATCAATGTTGCGTGCTCTAATCGGGCCAAAGTCAGCCCGGAACTGCTCCATGCTTCTGCCAAGTCATTGATCAGGCGATGGCATAGGTCCCAGCTGACAGTGCCACGAAAATCGGTCCCCTGAACCAAAAAAACACCGGAATACCAGGAGGAGCTGCCTTGATCCTGGGCCAAATGCAGCGTGGGTCGAACCAACACACCTTGCTGCACTCGGACCGGCACTTCGTAGGTTCGTGAACCATCAGCCAAAAGCAAGCAGCTCCTCTTGCGAGGCTCGCCTGAAATCGGACATACCATTTCGGTCATGTACCGTTTCGCGCCTGCTGGTAGCATAGTGCAGGGACGTGATGGCATGAAAGCAGATAAGCCCCAACCATTCACTCGGACCAAAGCCCAGTCGAGGGCCACCAAGTGTTTCAGGTTGGCCTGCCGCTTTTCAGGGGACTCAGGTCCGTCCTTCATTTTCATGAAGAGTCGGACCTCCTCCTCCAGATTCTTGGCTTGTAGCCGAGATTCGGGCACTGGGGCATGGAGGCTCCTTTGCACCTTCTTCGTCAGTGAAAGCCCGAGATCCTGCAGCATCTGAACCCACAATCATAAATCCATTAGTGTAGACTGATTTGATACAATAATTTTCCCCTAGTAAGTAGTTAAACCATCAGCAAGTCAGTACAAAACCTGCACTATGAAATTAAGTCAACAGGAAGAAGTTAACAAATTACAGACAACTTCCAAGCAGAAGTCATAGATCCCTGAAAGTCATTAAAGGGAGAAGTTGTCATTTAATTAATTATGACAAAACAAAATAATCTCAGACCTCAATATCATGTCCTGCGGTGGCATCACTAAGTGCTTAGAGCCCATGCTTTGCGCAATGAACAGCCAATCGTGCGCCGGCTTCCCCATTCGGGCACCATCCAGAGCAATCGAGCAAACCCCAATTTGATGGAAAGTCACTCGGGCTGCGGCGCTTAGCTGGAGTAAGGCCGATTCGATCCATCGAAAAGTGGTCTTCTCGTCTCCGACCTTCATGGCCTTGCTGAAGTTTCCAGCCTTGTCGGACCGCCCCTCTTGCAGAACAGACTGAATAGCGGCCTCCTTGAAGTGTGGGTCCAGTCGACGCTTTTTGTTACTCGGACCCAACAAGACCAGCCCAGTCGATTTCAAGAAGTCAACATTCACCCAGTCTGAGAAGCATGCGCAAATTCGATCCGAGACATCCTTGAGCATGCGGCCGGTGAGTGCGCCGACAGTCGGGCAATGACTGAATTCGAAACCCGCTGCAAGTCGGCCCCATATTTGAGCATGAGGTGTTGCATCGTCTGCTATTTGCAGGGTTCCCAACATTTGACGAAGCTCTTGCATACAGGCGCACTCGGGCCTCTCTGCCATGAGATCCAGATCGAGGTGTTTGCAGAGCTCTGTCTCTGCAGTGGTGGGCTCTGGGAGGTGACCGAACCAACCTGAACTGGATCACTGCTGAGATCACAGTGTGACATAAGGGGATAATTATTAATTCAAGAGTTAAGAATCTGATCTTATGGATGACTGATGAGACAAGTGATGCTTCTTCCCTGCTGCCTGAATTGAACTAAGGTTAATCCTGTCTGAGAAATGAAATATTACCAGAGTTTTGAACTATGACCTTTATAGCATAACTGACTTAATTGATTTGTCTGAGTCTTGAGCAGCCTTCGGGCCATCGGTTCCGTGGGCACAGAATCTGAAAGACGGTCTCTGCAAGAACTCGGACCTCCTCCCGCTTTTGAACATCTCGTCTCCGATGCTGCCATTGCAGGAGAAGACCCAGCATCCATTGTGTGCTGACCCAATACTCCTCCTCTGCTGAATCAGCACTGACCTCGACAGATCGGGCCCGAGAGCTGTGTGATGACTGGCCAAAGGAGTGCCCTAGTCCTGGCATCAAGAGCCAGCCCAATGTGATGTCCCACATCGCTTGCTGGCTTGTGAACACATTGCACACTTTGGTGCGGTGACTGTCATAATGATACCCTGCTGCTAGCAAGAGCCTTCGCAGCTCCCATCTTAACTCGGACCCATGAGGCCAACACTTCAAGCAGATGGATCGTGATGTGCCATTTGGCAGCAGCACCTGTGTCTCCACTGTTGTGGGCCGCAATGGGTCTGCCACCTGGTCACTGCTCTCCGGCCCTGCAGTGACAATCTGGCCCTTAGGCCGAGACTCTGAGCTGCCACTCATTGCCTGTATGTGCCCTGCCTGGAATCTTATTCAGGCAATGTGTCTCTGAGATAACTTGATAACTAGACCTAGCAAATAACTCTCTGTTGGGTTTTGTGTACTCAGCCGATCTGATGGGACGCTTGCTGGATGTTTTTTCCATGCAAACACTGAGCAAAAGCAAGCTGCGCTGACTTCAAGGTGCCATCTGAGACCGGTGAGTGCACCAAGCCCCCAAGGCACATCACTCTCGATGCTGGGATTGTGACATGCTTGTCATCTTCATCTTCAAAAAGCTCCAGGTATCAGCACATCTCCTGTCTTCGATTTCACAGCACATGTTGCCTGCATTATGAATTCCCACATGCAGACACATGAGATAAAAACAGTTAATAGAATGGCCTGGCCTGAAGCGCCTGTACATGACAGTGGGGATCAAGTCGGCTGCAACACCTTGGGTTGGGCTGGACATTTACAAATGCAGCACACGCATGCCCCGACTCATTATACTGCAGGCAACCATGCAGCTTTTTCGAGTGTTGCAGCCTGGCATACATTCGGCCCCTCTCCGGTGATGCAGAATGCAATGGAAAGCATGACATTCGACATGTCTTCCAGGTCCCTAGACAACGTTTGGTCAACTTGCCCAACTCCCAAGTATCCTCAGCAGACTGGCAATCTCTATCAAATGAGTTTGTTGAATTTTTATACTTTACTAGCATGTATGATAATCAGTAGTTACTCAATTTGTGTTATATTATGTCACTATCGGACCGTCGGATACCCTGGAGTCTTGGCCCCCACACTTCACCCCTGTGCTCCTTCATAAATACATCTAGCCCTGGCTCATCTGTCCAGACTGTCCACCAGAAGTTTCGCGAAAGCTTTGCAAAACTCTTGTGGGTAGGCGGCAGCCTGACTCGTTTTGAAGCTGGTCTTACCCTTGGCTTTGGGGCCGGTCACAAAACCTTGCAATCGCTCATGCTTCTTGCCAGTGACACTGCAACGCCGGCTTTTGCACTTGCGCAAGATCTTGGCAAGATGCCCAGGCCCTCCGGAGAACTTCCCCCACATTGCCAGTGATGTTGCCTTCTTCCATGGTTGCCCGAACTGACAGTGGTGGAACGTTCCGAAGTTGAAGTCAGGCCCAGACATGAGCTCCTTCAACTCGGGCAGTTCCCATATCCATGATGTGCGGGGGTTCTCCACAATAAGAGTCGTACCATATTTTCGGGCCTCCTTCACGACCTTTATGGCCCACTCGGCAAGGGCATTGCCATGGTCAAGCTTCTTGAGCTCTGAAGTCGTCAATTCAGACCGAGGAAGCCCCCACAAGTACTCACGGCTGCGTAGAGGAGCTGGAAACCCTCCACGTTTTGGCCGTGCACTCAGGCCTCGGGCTGCTGGGTCAATCGGGCCTCGTCGCTTTCCACGCCTTGCCCGAGACCAGCTGGCACATGTCAGCCCAAGCCACAAGCAGGCCACCAAGCCTTTCCTGATTTTTGACAGCAGCAGCTCTAGACACTCAGGCCGCAAGATGTCTTCATTGGGGCCACCGCGGGTGACCTCAAAGCTCCATGTGGGAATTCCAGCTGCAGCGGTCGCCTTGGAAAGTCGACAACTCCCAGCACATGCCTCTATGAAGAGTCGGGCAGTCACCGCTGTTCTCCCCATCTCATGCACAAAGCCTGAAACTCCTAGTTCTGCAGCTTGTCCTGGGCATGCCATGGCTTCCTCAATTTCTTCTGTTTTCTCATGCCTCACTGATGGCTGCCTGTGGCTCTTTGAAAATCCAGCCCGTGGAAAGCATGTGGTGCAGGATTCTAAGAAGCAACCACAAATTGGGCCAGAACAGCTTGTTGCCACCTTTGGCCTGGTGCACCTGCTCTCTTCGATCTCTGGCGCTGTTGCAGCAGGTGGAACAGGACGGCTTGTTGCCACCTTTGGGGGTGCTGCTGCAGCAGGTGGAACAGGTGGAAAGCATGTGTTGCAGCTTTCTAAGAAGCAACCACAAAGTGCTGGAATCGGGCCGTGGCTTCTTGCCATCTTTGTTGCTGCTGCTGCCAGCATCGGGCTCACATGATGCGTCTTCAGCTTCTTTGAGGAAATCACATCTCGGGCCTGTTTCGGGCCCTGGAAGCAGACATTGCAGCCGGACATGAAGCATGCACAGAACATCGGCATTGCACCTGTGTGTGCTGCTGGATGAGCCAAAACTAGACTGGCCATGGAGGACTTACCAACCACTCTGCAGCTGATGATTCCTGGAGATGCTATGCATCATCATACTTACAAGCTCTCTTGAGTCTTGGCTTTCAGACAATGATGATAATCTGGGTGCCGGACAGAACCATATTCCTCGAAAGACTCATCCCACCAGCAATGCAATGACCTCATGAATGCCAAAACCACATGGAGCTTGGGGAAGGGCCCCAAATAGCAGAATGCTGTCAGGTTTACAATCCCCTGGCGCTCAATTTTTCTTTCCTCAGCCATGGCACTGCTGGTGATTTTCGGCTCACTTCAGAGCATGGGTCAAATGATGAACCATGGCTCATGGCACTGGTGGTAATGTTCAGCTCGCTTTAGAGCATGGGTCAAAATCATGAGCCATGGCACTGGTGGTGATGTTCGGCTCGCTTCAGAGCATGGGTCAAATCATGAACCATGGCTCATGGCACTGGTGGTAATGTTCAGCTTGCTTTAGAGCACAGGTCAAATCATGAGCCATGGCACTGCTGGTGATGTTCGGCTCGCTGCTGCTTCAGAGCATGGGTCAAAACTACAGGTCAAAACTGAACTCGGGCCAACTCTGGTGTTTCATTTCACCCTGTTGGCTCCATGACATGGACATCGTCATCCTCATCTGGCTCCTGAGCATCCTTCTCATTGTCCGCCGTGTCATCCCCCTCTGCCGGGGGGACCTCCAGATCCTCCTGGCCAGGATTATCAACCTTAACAAGATTATGGTATGTCCATGTGGGCCATGGTTGCAGGCACGCATGATCCAGCACAGGATGCATGGTCCTCTTCCGGTTCCTGCTCATGCTCTGTCGGCTCAGGCTGCATCTTGGCACGCTTATTTGCAGGCTTTGCCTTGGTTGCAGTTTAGCATGAAGAAAATTAAAATCACAAATAGGTACCCCTATGGCCCTCTGTGAAAGTGCTGCATAGTTGCCTTTGCGGCACGACTCGGACCACCCTTCGCCACACGCTTTCGGACCGGCCTCTCAGGCAACCTTACGGATGTGTATGGCTTTCAGAAACGAAGGTTTGCTCCTTTAAAGGGTTGATTCCTACATGAAGGGTTCTTTCAAGGTTTCATTGAGGTGCTGGGGGCTTTTTGGGCTCCATTAAAGGGCTCTTTTAAGGGGTTGGTGCTTTAGGGTTTTTTGAAAGAGTTTTTTTAGGGTTCGTTTTAGGGCTCATAGGGCTTTAGGGTTTGTTGCTTGTTAAGGGCTTAGGGCTTTAGGGATTTTTGCCAACCAAGCAGCTCGGGCACATCGAACCACAAGTCGTTATTGTAGGAAATCACCAGCTCCCTTCCTTTTTGGACCTGTTTTAAGCAGGTCAGGTAGAGGAATCTGTGTCCCCGGCCATTTGCCGGGTGAGCAATCCTTAGCTGACTTCTGAACCCCTCCTAAAAGTTAAACTTTTAGCCTCTTTATTATAATTCATATAGAAACCCAAAAAGTTAAAGAGCCAACCAAAAGAACACCAAGAATCACCTCGGCATTCGGACCCCCCTTCTGGATGCCATGGAAATCGTTGACGAACCCGCCAATGCTCGTCAACACTCGAAACCATGGCTGTCCGCCATTCGGGCCATTCGAGGAGTCTTCGATCTCCTCACTGGCTCAAAACCCAAAGGAATAAAAGTTGATACTTTCAGAATCAATTACCTTATATATAAGAACCAGAACAGTTGAAAAGTTGAGTTGACAGCTGATAAGTCTCAATGACCCGTTCCAGCAAGCTCGGCTGGCCTTTTTCGGTCACAAATCGGACCACCTCCTCATAGCTGGCGAAGTCGGGCCTCGAAACAAACAGGGGTTTAGGTTTATTCCTGGCACTTAGGGTTAAGGCTTCAGTGGAATAATGAGGGTCTAGGGTTTGGTTTTCCTGATCCTTGAACCACATTGTCATATGGGGTGTGTTTACCATTGTTTACCCTTTGACCTGATGATGTGCCGAGTGGCCCCAACAGCGGCAGCATGTGATGGCGCTTCAAGGTCACAGCCGCGAACAATCCCAGCTTGGCCTCTGGGCAACTCGGGCCAACTTGCAGCTTGTGCCGGTCCATCTGGTGACGGTTCCGGAGGCTCATCACCGACTGGCTGACATCACCAATCGAGCCAATCGCATCCAACTCCTCCTGGTCCGAAGCTTCAAGCACTTCATCAGCCACCTCTTCATCGTCCATGATCTGACACCGAATCGTACGGCGACCGGTTCCTTTCGGGCTTGCCTCCGCCATCGTAAGTTGGCCCTGGCCCTCTTCATCATCAGGTGCTGAGGCCACCCGCTTGAGTCCCCTGCGCCCACCTGGACCAGGCAAAGCCGCAGCAGCTTTCATGATTGACTTCCTCAGACAGCTGCAAATAATATTATTATTGGCTGTACATGCATGTTGCACATGTCTCCAACCATACAATACAAGAACAACAACATGAGTTACTTACTTACTGGACAGCTCCAAGTCAAATGAGGATCATCTTCTCCACACGTCTCTTCACAGAGTTGTCACGGACCGTGAAGATGTACTTGCAGAAGTTGTGCAGGTGGCGCAGTCTGCATGAGTTTCTCGGCAAGAAACTGTTGTCATCATGTGGCACAGGTAGCAGCAACTGGAGTGTGCAAACCTTTGTGGCCAAAGCGAACTCTTGCTCGTTATACTCCAGCAGACCTGCTGTCAGTCCCGGGCCTTGGCCAAACCATTGATTGAAAGGCATTAATTGATGTTGATGGTAATTATGACTTGTTAAGATGATCAGCCTGGTGTTTCTGGAATGTTGCATCAT